GCTGTGTATTGATAGCCGAAAGCTGAATGAAGTGACGGTTAAAGACGCATATCCAATGCCACTTATTAATGGAATTTTAGGTAGGCTCCCAAAAGCAGAATTCATAACTAGTTTGGATCTAAAAGACGCCTTTTGGCAGATCCCGCTAGATGCTAATTCAAGGGACAAAACAGCATTCACAGTGCCTGGAAGACCCCTCTATCAGTTTGTTGTTATGCCCTTTGGGCTATCTAATTCTCCCCAGACTATGTGTAGGCTAATGGATAAGGTGATCCCAGCGTCTCTAAGGAACGAGGTGTTTGTGTACTTAGACGACTTACTAATAGTCTCAGATACTTTTGAAAGACATATAGAAGTTCTGAAAGAGGTTGCGTCTCACCTTCAAAATGCCAAATTGACCATAAACGTAGAAAAAAGCAATTTTTGTATCAAGGAGGTTAAATACTTGGGACATGTGATTGGCCATGGAACCGTAGGCACAGACCCAGATAAAATATCCGCAATTCTGGAGTTCCCTAGCCCTCGCTCCATGAAACAGGTTCGCCGTTTCTTAGGAATGACGGGTTGGTACAATAAATTTATAAAAAACTTTGCCGCTTTAGCTTCTCCAATTACCGATACGCTCAGAAACAGAAAGAAATTTGCTTGGACTGAGGAAGCTCAACAAGCTTTTGAAATCTTGAAAGAACACATGTGTACGGCCCCTGTGTTGCATAGCCCAAATTTTGACGCTCCGTTTTCCATCCATTGTGATGCAAGCAACACTGGAGTGGGCGCTGTTCTAATGCAGGACGACGCCGAGGGAAACGAAGTTCCAATCTCCTTTATGTCCAAGAAACTAAACAAATGTCAATCAAATTACACAGTCACAGAGAAGGAGTGTTTGGCAGCTGTTTTGGCGGTAAAAAAATTCAGGGCATATGTGGAGGGACAAGAGTTTTCAATTATAACGGATCACGCGTCCTTAAAGTGGCTTATGTCCCAGGGAGACCTCAGTTCTCGTCTTGCACGATGGGCCCTAAAACTGCAGGGATTTAAGTTCAAAATCAGCCATAGAAAAGGAAGCCAAAATGTAGTGCCAGACGCCTTGTCAAGGACTTTTACGGAAGACCTTTCGGTCTTAGAAATATCTAGTTTAGTGGATATGGATGCTAGTGAGTTTAAAGGGAAAAACTACGAAGATCTAAAAGCAGCTATTTCCACAGGAGTACAACAATTAGGTGAGGTTAAGGTCAGCAACGGGTTTGTTTATCGTCGCGCTGAGCACGCTGCAGACGAGAAAGTGGCAGATGAATCCTGTTGGAAGCTGTGGCTTCCTAAAGAGCTAGTTCCAGATTTGTTAAAAAAAACGCATGAAGATCCCTTAGCAGCACACTGTGGCATAGCCAAAATGTTAGAAAACTTGAGAAGATATTTCTATTGGCCAAATTTAGCGGTAGATGTAAAAGATTTTGTCAATAGGTGCGAAGTGTGCAAGACAACAAAGCATCCCAGTCAGACTTTGAGACCAGCCTTGGGAAATACTGGCCAATCTGAAAGGATTTTTCAAAGGCTCTACGTGGACTTTTTAGGGCCGTATCCGCGTAGCTCGGAAGGGCATATAGGGCTTTTTATTGTAGTCGATCATGCATCTAAGTTTCCCTTTCTAAAAGCCGTAAAGAAATTTACCACAGAGGCTATTCTTCCATTCCTTGAAAAAGAAATCTTCCATTGTTTTGGCGTACCGGAAACTATTATTTCCGATAATGGAGTGCAGTTCAAATCAGTGGCGTTCAACGCTTTACTTGAGAGATATGGGATCGCACACTCCTATACGGCGATTTACGCTCCACAAGCCAACGCCTCAGAAAGGGTCAATAGATCGGTGTTAGCTGCCATCAAGGCGTACATAGATCCGAGTCAAAAGAACTGGGATAGTAAACTTAGTAGCATCTGTTGCGCGTTGAGGTCAAGTTTTCATTCGGCCATAAAAACGACACCGTACAGAATGGTTTTTGGGCAGCACATGGTAGTAGATGGAAAATCATATAAAATCATTAGGGAGCTAGGATTGCTAGAGGATAGAAATGTACAGTTCAGTAAGGATGACTCGCGAGACATAATAAGGCGTACGGCTCAGGATTCGATGGAAGCCCAAAGGGAAAGGAATGAAAGGGCTTATAACTTGCGGAGCCGAATTGTGTCTTACAGACCGGGTCAAGAGGTCTTTCGCCGGAACTTCCAGCAAAGCAACTTCGCAAAGGGTTTTAGCTCAAAGCTAGCACCGGTTTTTATAAAGTCTAGGATCCGAAAAAAACTGGGTTTGGCCTATTATGAAATTGAGGACCTCCAGGGAAGGTTAATTGGCAAATACCACGCGAAAGACTTGCGACAATAAGACAAGCTGGGATCTCCCTTGTGTCGATAGCGCACCCCAAGTGAGATTTTGGTGGGGGGGAACTGTAGGATTGCTTGTCTTTTGGCTAAGATTGCTTTCGGCCCAAAAGTAGGCAACAGAGTTTGGTCTACATGGTTTAGTAGAAAATATAGTCTCTTGAGCCAGAACTCCCAAAACTTCACCAAATTGGTGAGTAGGCTTGAGCTACAGGTCGGACTCAGGGTCCCGACCCGAAGTCAATTTCGTTTGGAGTCACACCAAAATTACCAGTGGATCGAAGAAGAAGTTAGTTGCAAGTGCAAAGATCAAAGTTACACAAATTAAAGGAAATCCAAAATTTCCAAAATTCCCGGCAATCGCCGTTACAAGTGGCTTAAAAACCAAAAAAACACAAGTGCTAAAGTGCCAACCCCTAGTGGGTGGCACCTAATTACATAACCCCGGTCCGCCAAAAGCCAGGCTTGGGCGTAAGAGGCGTCTGGAGAACAAAAGGGCCAACAGGAGTGAAGTTATATACCCATCAACCGATCAATCAGCACCAGCAGCAGCAGCAGAATCCGAGATCCCTCAGCAGCAACCAAAGCGCCGAGAATTTGATTTATATATATTATCTACATATTTTTGATACTTTCTACATCTACGTTTATATGTTGTAGAATAGCCCAGTAGCCAGCGAAATTTAGGCTAGGGTCCATTTACCGGCAATACAGTCCGTAAGCCGTAGGGAAATATAGCCCAAGAAAAAAAAATGAATTAATCAACCCCTCAAATACAAAATCATTTCTAATTACATTTAAAAACTTAAAGTAACGAATTTTACGCGGCATTTTACGCCGCTAGGAGCAGATCAACAGCTGAAATTTAGTTTAAGTAGTTTTAAGAGTATAGCAATCAAGAGAGAAGGTCAATAACAGGAAAATATGCATTAGAGCTGAGCAGTCCCGTCTTTCCATGTACAATTCCCTTCCCTCTCCCATAACTTAACGGCAGAGTACCGTACCGCTGAAGATTACGAGTAAGGCGAGTGAGAGTAACTTAAGCAATCTCTTAAGTAGTTGAGGTTCTCTTTCACAGGCCCCTTCGAGAAGCGCTTCATCGTGGGAAACAAAGTGAGTCCATTGTAATGAATCTCAACTACCTTTTTTTTTAAATAACACAAAAGTCCAAAGAGACAACAAACATTAAAATTTAACCCCCTTACTAAATGCCGTAATAAAAATAAAAAAAAAATTAAAGAAAACTTCAAATTCCAAAAAATTTCCTCCCCATAAAGCCCAAACCACAACTCCCTGCTCAATAAAATAAAATTTTAAGTCACACATATAATGCCATAATTTTACATGCTTACACCCATTATACCCGCTCTCTACATTTGTATTATTTCATGTAAAAGCTAGATGTTATATACATGAGCACTGAAATATTCAGCGATCGCTAAATTTAATTTTTATTCATTAAATTCGCAATTTTAAGTTCAATCTATATGTTAATCACTTCTTAGGATCCTAATGCTCTTGTTTAGAATTAAATTTTGTCAGTTAATAGGATTATTCTATGTTTAAAAATAAAATTTATAATGTGGTCTAAAGTTGAGTAGAGTCCATAGGGAAGCCATGCGTCGTCGAATGTTATCTGTCGTGTAAAGTGTAGTCGCCTTTTAGGGATCGCCATAAATATATCTGGTCGATGGTGATCATGGTAGGGAGGGCAAGTCAGCTTGAACAACCGCTGACATAAAGGCACTACATCCTTGTTCGTCCTTATCTGTCCTTTGCTAGTCAATAGTCCGGTCCATTAGTCCTGTGGAGATCCTCGTACCCTTTAGCACGCGAAGTAATAAGATTTTGTTGTTCGTCTATAGAGCAAGTAGCAGCGTTCTTAAAACCTATCCCCGACCCCCCTCTACTGGTAACTCATGCCGGAACCAGCGCGTGCTCTACGTAGGCTACAAATTACACCAGCTCTCGAAACGTAGTTCGCTACACCATCCTGTTATGTATTCAAGTTATTTGTTCCTATTTGTTCTGTACGATTTATAGCCATTAAGTTGGCTGATCAATGTAAAATTATATGAGTTACATTAGAAAAATTTAAATAAAGCTAACTTAAAGTTAAAACTATAAGCTTACTAAATTAAATTCTTTTATTTATTTTTATTTGAATTTTGACCTTTATTCGCGTTTTTTCAAGGAATGGGATGATTTTAATGACGTTGTCGGGAGTTGGGTTTGAGATGATGTTGATGAATGAAAGGATTCTGATCTGGGTTGGGATAAGGAAGGGCAGTGGATGATGATATTTAGTAAATATTATTTACTATTTATATATTTATATTTTAGCCAATTTACCTTTCTTAATGTGAAGTTCAACTGTATTCTTAGATTTACGTTTTATTATTCTTTTTGTGTGAGTAAACGAAAATGAATCAGCATTTAATTTCTGTAGAAATATTACCAAAGAAGCCATAAAAAAAAAGAGAAAATGGTTTCTGTCTACAATCTTGTTAAAAATAGCCAACTTTTCGTGAACAACGAAACTAGCCAAGTCTGGCTACAAAGCAGCAAGTGCCATCACTAGTCGAACTCACGAGCCAGACCAAGGCCAAACTCACGACACTCACGACACAAACTAGCGTAAACATATGTACATATCTGTGTAAACGCATGTAAAGGCGAACGCGACGAATATCCTGGATTTCCACGACACTCGAGGGTGTCGCGGCAACCAACAGCACGCGAATCGCTGGGGCAACCCACCATGGACGACTTTATAAAGACGCTGATTGCCGAGGTCAAGTCCCAGGGCGTCTTCGATGAATTCCGCTTCAATTGCTGCCTGGCGGACGTGGACACGAAGCCCGCGTACCAGAACGTACGCACTCGGGTGGAGACGGCGGTCAACGATTTCCTGGCCAAGCAGCACTGGACGCCCGAGACCAACAAGGTGCAGCTGCGGGAGCGGCTGCGCAAGCACCTGCTAGAGTGAGTACGCCTCTGGCGGGGATTAGGTAACGTAATCTCATCTCGGCTCTTGCAGAACCGATGTCCTGGACAAGGGAGTGGACCAAATCGTGGACCAGGTGGTCAACCCGAAGGTGGCCACCATATTCGAGCCAAAGATCGAGAGCATCGTCTACAAGTACCTGGGCATCACACCGCCGCCGCCGCTGCCCTCGAGATCCGCCATGCTGCCCGCTCCGCCCTTGCCGCCATTTGCTGGCCACATGAACGGCGGCGGCGGCAGCAGCCTGCTCAACGTGGAGACCACCGCCGGCCTCCTGCCCACCGACCTGGAGCAGATCAGTCCGGACTCCGACCGGGCCACCGTCAAGTCGGAGCTGAAGGACGAGGAACTGCCGCCCGGCGTGGACGACGAGGACACCTCGCCGTCGTACGAGGAGAAGCGCCTGGCCAGCAAGGAGGAGCCGAGCAACGGCTCGCTGAACAACTCGGATTCGGTGAACGGCGCCTCGCAAGCGTCGCAGCTCTCGCAGGTGTCCAGCGACAGCCGCCTGACCATCGCCTCCTCCACGGAATCGGTGGCCGATGCCCAGCAGCCTGGGCTCAGCGGGGAGCCAGCCAACATTTCCGAGGAGGCCCAGATGCCAAAGTTCAGCGAAAACTCCAGCGACACAAGTGGAGCAACTGGAGCAGCGGAGAACGGAAGTCGCCAGCTGCACTTTGACATCAAGCAGGATGCCATTACCTTCGAGGGTTTGTCTTGTTGCTTCCTGCAATAAGTGCAGCTAATCCCTACAAATGATTTCCCTTTGCAGGTACTGAGCGAAAGAACTCGGTGTCCGAGGACACCAACGGTGGCCCACAGATCCTCTCCATCGAAGATGCCATCATGTCGGAGGTGAAGGCGAACATAGACGATGCCAACAATGCCAGCATCGAGTCTATAGTGGAACCAGAAACCGTGCACCCGCCATCCCCGCCCAAAGAAGAGCCTCCTCCGCCGCCGCCGCCACCAAACGTTGAGCCCCCTCCTGCGCCCCAACTCCCAGTTGAGCCGCCTCCGCCGCCAGAACCATCTAAAGATGTGCCACCGCCTCCTCCAGATGCATCTACAGTTGATCCACCTCCTCCGCCAGCCCAGCCATCAGTTGAGAAGCCTCCAGAGAACAGTAATGGATCTATTTCAGAGGCGGTTTTGGTTGCGACACCCAAGGAGACTGAGAATTCAGATGTAGAGCTGAATAGGGAAGCCCATCTCCCCGAAAAATCTGAAGTCAAGGAAGATAAACCCCCAGAGCTTGCCCCGCCACAAGAAGTTGAAACCCACAAAGAGGAGGTAACCAAATCGTGTGAGTCCACAGTGTCGCCCACATCTGTGTCCTTGCAATCCAAAAGCAACTCAAAGTCCAAGGACAAAGAGAAGGAGAAGGAGCGACGGCATCACAGCCACTCAGATGATAAGCAGCGTCGCAGGAGCAAGGATCGCGATCGAGACCGAGACCGCGATCGCAGTCGTGACAAATCGCACACAAAACATTCCTCGAGTTCCAGCTCGAAGCACTCCTCATCGCACTCCTCCAGTTCGAAGCACAGAAGCAGTAGCTCCAAGAACGACAAGAGCTCCTCAAGCTCATCCAGCCGAAGTAATCGCGACTCATCTTCATCCAAGCGTTCGGCTAATACATCATCCTCATCCTCTCGCCACGAATCCTCCTCGCATAAGAAACACAAGTCCAGTTCATCTTCATCACGATCGGATCGAGATAAAGACAAGGATAAGGATAAGGACAAGGAAAAGGAGAGCCACAGTCGCAGCCACCACAGCAGCAGTAGTTCTTCCTCGTCGTCAAAGAGGAAAGACCACGACAGGGGCCGCGATCGGGAACGCAACAAATCCAGTTCATCCGGAAGTGCGGAGACTAAAGCGATCCTCGACGATCACAACGAGAGCAAAGCCAAGTTGAACCAGCGCCGCAGCTCGGATTCCAATGATGAGGGCAAGCCTCCTAGTTCCGGAGGTCCGGCAAAGATTTCCCAGCCCGATATTACCGCCGCTCCGGAGAAAGCTGATGCGGCGGTAGAGAATGGCAATGGCACGAATGGAAACTCCAACGGCAGCAGCAATGGTGGGTGCGACGGTGCAGCAAGTGCCAGCAGCGTTGTTATTGTCAGCGACATCCTCCAGCAATCGTCGACCAGTTTTATTCAACTGACTGCCGGTTCCCAGTCACAGAAGGTAGTGGAGAACAGTCAGCCTGAAGTTCAGCCGGAGAATCAGCCGGAAAAGCCAGAATCGGAGGCAAAACAAGAGGAGGCTGCCTTACAAGATGAGGCGTCAAGTGAAGAACTTCAAGAAGCGGACAAAGTTGAATCCGTACCTGATTCCCCTGTCGAGGAGGAAAGCAAAGAAAGCGATGTACAAGAAACTGAACCAGTGCAGACCAAGGAAGATGAACAGCCGCTGGCTGAGGAGAGCATACCCGAGAGCCCTGTAAAAGTTGTAGAGACCTCCAGTAAACTGGAGGATCTACCGAAAGATGTCGAAAAACCCGCCACACCAATCCCAGACTCGAATGAGCAAAGTGACGAATTAGTAGCCGACTTTGTAACCCACTTCGAAGAAAACACCGACGAGTTCAAGGCTCGTCTGCAGCTGATCAATCAACTGATAGAGGAACGCAAGAACTTGCTCGACAGCATGAGCGCAGATGGATCACAGGACGAGGCAGTGGATATACGTGCTCTGCGAAGGAGCATATCCAAGCGGAGACGGAGCAGTGTGCAGGAGCAGCAGCAGCAGCAGCAGCCAGTGGTGCGAGAGACGACACCGGCGAGGCTTTGTAGTCCCAGCAGCAGCACCTCCGGCAGTCCGGCAAAGAGGCTGCGACGCGATGAACCCAAGTCATCGCCCACGCCATCGGACGCCAGTATAAACTCCAAGGAGAACGAGGCTTTGGAGAAGCAGGAGCATGGTGCGTACTGTATCATAGCTAACTATCATTTGGTGTAGCAAATCTATCGCTAACCCACTTAATAGGGTGGATCGATTTTATAGTTAATTTTAGATCCCTAATAGTTATTTTTAGATTATTATAACCAACTCTTTTGGTTTTTATTTTAAATTTCGAACAAGTCTTTATATCGCGCCATTCTTAAATGAACAAGATGATCAAAATATGTAATAAAATATATATATATCCCCAGATGTCATAACAAATCGATCCACCCTGCGATTGTGACTTACATATCTCATGCTCATCCTCATCGTTATCTCTACCGCCTCTACTTTCTCCTCCACATGCATCCACATTACTTATAAATTAATATAGCTGTATGAAGCCTCCACTAGTCCTATCCAAATATCTAAATTGTGCTGGGTAAGCGGTTCCCGCAAGACTTCCTGTCTCTCTGCCCACTTTCCGTTGCTACTCCAGAGCATTTCCGCGAATGCGTGTGATTAATGTGATTGTTTTCTCTGCAGACGCTCTGTCCGCCAGGCGACTCAGCAAGAAGCTCTGCCAACAGCAGCGGTACACCAACGATGATCTCTACAAGCCCCGTCCAATCCTGTCGCAGCGCTCTCGTCGCCGGGGCCTGGATTCAATCCTCTAGCTAACGAATCAACTGTTATCGGAAACAATAAAAGGCAATTGTTGTTAATGCATTTGACATAAAACAAATCGTATCTTCTTTCATCCGTTTAATGGGCCTTTTCGCTTGCCAATGGTTTTGCTTGCGCTTTGTTTTCGTTTTTGAATTCTTTAACAATAAAATTTTAATTTTAGAGCTACACCTTACAGTTTAATAATCGCCGGTGTAGCGTATCCATATATATATTATGCATATATATAAACAAAAATAACAGTGAACGTAATAATATGATGCATTATTGTATATTTTGGGGGATTCCGGTTGCCCCGATCCCTGGCACTAGACTGCGAGTGCTACTCCGGGGGGGTGAAAACTCTAGCACTGAGACGAAAGATAATGTGTGATGATTAAAACACTGTAGAGGATGCTATCAGCAACCGCAGTCGAGTGCCCGGAATAAGGGCATTACACATAGCTAGGCTACTACTCTACGATGGGGGAGGCTGGCTAGTTAGTTAGTATCGGGTCTAGATTGGGCAATCCGGGGGAGACGTAGCTGCGGTTCGTTATATTTTGTAACATCTCAGTTTGAAGATTTAAGGTGTAATTTGATTACAAATTATTGAATTTTCTCCTCGCGCTTGTGTGTGCTTTACATTTTTGCTCTTGATTACTTTACAACGATCAACATAAATATATATGCGTATATACTTTGAAACTCGTTTAAAAAAATATATATAAATGTAGTAAATCAAAGGTTGTAATACATAGGTAATAGTATTTTACAAGAAGGTTTTCTCATTTCGAAATAACATAGATACAGTATTATCATTAGCATATACTTTTTAACAAGAATTTCGCACTTTGCCTAAAACTGTCTTTGTGTGTGTGTATGTGTGGGTGTAAGGTGTGTGTTTGTTGTGTGTGGAGTTTTGCGTGTTGTGTGTGAGAGCGAGAGTTTTGTGCAGAACAACAACTACGATTTAACCTCCGACTATGGAGTGATAAAACTCTCTCACCGACTCCTCGCAGAGTATTCATACAAGCAGCTGGGTTCGGGTGGGCTGAACGTGAAAGTGGGGTGGTGGCCAGGCGGTGGTCAGCGGAACGGCAGGCGTTTCGAACGCCGTGTCGTCCACCTGCCCAAAATGGGGCCCCCAAATTGCACCCCAGCTTCCCCGATCCCCACCGCCAACTAATAGCTACGCTTAGGTTTAGCTGTCGCTGCTGCTGCAAACGTTTCGAACGCAGGCCCCGCTCGCGGCCACGCCCACTGGCGCCGCCTACGTGCTGGAGAAGCCCCGCTCGTAGGGACTCTTCACGTCCGTGTGCCGCGTGTGCAGGTTGATTGTTGGCCCGGCGGGTCGCGTCGACAGCTCGCACACCGTCTTGATGGCACCGGAGGCATTCACCGAGGTCGGGGCGGGGTGCAGGGTCGCTGCCGTCTCCTTCTCCTTCACCGTCTCCCGCTCCTGGTCGCCCTGCTCCTCATCCGCAGTCCTGGGCAGCACGTAGTCCGCTTTGCGGGGCTCCGAGCGGCCCGTAATTGACGATTTGTACTGGTCGGCGTCCAGGCCGCACAGGTAGAACTTGAAGAACTCGTACGTCGACCAGCAGATGGCCGTGGCGGGCATGGAGTACAGAACGCGGGCGGTCATGCCTCTAAAGAAGCCCAATGGACCAGCCATGTGGTAGATCTGTAAGAGGACAAAGGGCATTAGATGGGAAGTAAACAGCTTTTTGTACCTATAACCTATTTAGGCTATAAAAAAAACTTTGAAGATCATCTACAGCAATTATGAGTGACATGGCAAGAGTTAAGTGACTTTAAAAACAAGAAAGGAAGCTAGCTTCGGCCAGCCGAAGCTTATATACCCTTGCAGATCATTCCTATTAATTAACAAATCGCAAAAATGTTCAATTTTCTAATATTTCTCATTATTTCATTATTTCTCATTAATTTTCCGATCGTTCCTATGGCAGCTATATGATATAGTCGTCCGATTTTGATCAAATTAAAATTGAAATTCGGAAATATTTAAAAAGAGTTATATCCTAGAGTAGAAGATAATACAATAAAAACCAAAGAAGCTAGAATTTATTTCCTATTACTTTTCCATTAATTTTCCGATCGTTCCTATGGTAGCTATATGATATAGTAGTCCGATTTTTTAAATAATTAATTCGAAATTCAGAAATATTTAAAAAATAACATCCCCAAAAGTAGAAGGTAATATTTCAAAAAACACCGAAGCTAGAATTTTTTAAAGTTTTTTTCTTCCGATCCTTCCTATGGGAGCTATAAGATATAGTTGTCCGATCCGGTCGGCTCCGACATATATACTACCTGCAATAGAAAGAAGACTTTTGCGAAAGTTTCGTCCCGATAGCTCAAAAACTGAGAGACTAGTTTGCGTAGAAACAGACAGACGGACAGACGGACAGACGGACAGACAGACAGACGGACAGACGGACAGACGGACATGGCTAGATCGACTCGTCTTGTGATGCTGATCAAGAATATATATACTTTATGGGGTCGGAGACGTCTCCTTCACTGCGTTGCAAACTTCTGACTGAAATCATAATACCCTCTGCAAGGGTATAACAACCTGGTTTAACCCATTTTGATTACTTTAAATCTTATTTAAAATTAACGTACAGGATAAACTATGTAGAGAACTTTTCACAATGCAATATGCGCTATTTTTTATCTGAACGATTCTGATTTCCTGCTTGGAAGCTTACAAAATTATAAATTTAAATTGCTCATAATTTCACCATCCCTTATTTTCGATGTGTAACCTGTTTAGGCTATAAAAAAACTGTAAAGATCATTTACAGCAATTACGATTGACATCGGAAGAGTTAAGTGACTTTAAAAACAACCTGGTTTAACAAGTTTTGACTACTTTAAAACGATCAACATAAAGCATAATCTAATATCAAAAAATGTATTCTTATTTGAAATAAAAGTTTAGGATAAACTTAAAAAATGTAGGGCTTTTTAATGTATTTTTGTTCTTCTATAAAGATATATGGTTTTAATCATGTACGAGAACTTTTCACAATGCAATATCCGCTATTTTTAAACCTCTAGTTATCTGAACGATTCTGGTTTCCTGCTTGGAAGCTTACAAAGTTGTAAATTTAAAGTCATACTAATAATACAATCTGTTATTTTCGATGTGTAATATATTTACCTTTCGGCTGGCCTCAATCATGCCGCGCGTCAGTCCAGTCTCCTGTGTATTCAGTAGCGTCTTGATCACGTCCAGGGGCGTGGTTATAGCCGCCGCACAGGCGCCAGCCGCAGCACCCGCTGCCATGTGAACTGGGGGATTGTATTTGCGTTCAAGGTTCAACTGCAAGGCACAAAGATGTTGTGATATACTTTAAGGGATAATAGGTTGTAGGCAAAACTTACTGTGTTCTGGAAAAACTCGTATGTGGTAAAATGTATTGTCTGATATGGTAGGTTCATGACCAGTTGCGTGCCGTAGGCTCTGTAGAAGGCTTTGAAGCCCTCCTTCCTGTAGATATCCTGTACGCAGGTTATCACCGATGTGTAGGGTGAGTTGTACATCTGCATGCGCTGCTTTATCACATCCGTGGGACTAGAAATGGCGTCGTGAATGAGGGTGGCCACCACTCCCGAAATCACTGCAATGGATTCGGCACATTAGGAGCCATTGGCGCAGACAAACTCCTTCAAAATTACCGTAGTTGAGGTTTCTCACTGTTGTGAACTTGGCCGTCATCTCCTTGGTCATTTCGTAGGCAGCAAAGTACAGCGAATGCGCTGGCCCAGCACCCAACACTACAGCGCTGGCGCCCCGGATGGGTCTGTGGATCACAAAATATATTAGAATAATCCGTAAAAGGTAATATTGATTTCGCATTACTTACCTTAACAAACCCTCACGTGTGATCATGTTCCGAAGGGTTGATAATATGTTCATGTTTTGTGTGGGCGGCGAAAGACTCTGCATTCTCGTCTATAAATGCGGAATAATAGAACGTTTAAAATAATTGCTATAAAAAAGTTATAATAATTGCACATATATTTACATCGTGCATTTCACAATGCCCTTTCTGCAGTGTTTGTTATTTAATTTACCCATTGTTTGTCCTAGATTAAACCGGGTAATCAACTGACTGAAGTGATTCGTCAGAATTACTAACTGGTTTCCCTTATGTATTATCAAAAACTCTGATTAAGTCAGGGAAAATGATGAAGTGAACAGATACACTTTTAGCTATTCTTCTGCAAGTCATGGTTACTCATGATATATAGTACAGAACCAAACTCAATTGTAGGGGGTATCCAATTTTCCGTTTTTCTGCTGACATTGTCAAGACCTCAAAACGTGCTCTCATCATGATTTGTGTTCAGAATTGATTGGGTGATTCCCGAAACTATTTTAATCTTGCACTGCAGTTGCAGTCTATGGATTGTGCAATCTGGCAGCAACAAGAGCGAATTATTATTAAGAACAGACATTAGATCATCTTAAAAATAAACTAGTTTAAACTTTTATTTTAACTGTCATAGTTTTTCTGGGTTCGTCAATGAGTAGGCTACAATCGGCTTACAATAGCAGGGACTAATAACCGATATCAGTGGAATATAAAAATATATAATTGTTTGTTTGTGGGGGATAACTTTCGCTTATTTATAAGCAAGTCACCCGGGGCCTACAGATTTGCAATTGTCTACGTATTTTACGATTGCACATAGTACATTTGTACATGTACTTAATTGCATTTATTTAAAGGCGTGCCTGTCGGGCAAACAAGATAGAATTATATCTGAAAGCGGAGAGCAGCATCCATACTGTAAATCGCGGAGACGTAGGCTTTGCGATGAAGATAAGATTTCCTGGAAAACGGCCCAACTGCATTTATCTATCTGCTGGCTGGCTGCTGCTATCAATAACAAGTCAACAAGGCAATTCAAGGTGAAAAATAGTCTCTCGAGTGGGGGAAACCTAATTAAAAAACTGATAGAAGTCTCCCTTACATAAATGCTAGATAGAACCGAACTGCCTATGAAGAGATGTGGAGCCAACATGATTCATTCATCCCGATACTATACTATAAGTACCCCTGATAAGGGAACAAAGTGTGAAATCAGAATGACAATTTTTATTTATAAACCATAGCGAAACAGCGCGAATAAAAGCGCCTCAATTGCTGGTCAATTAAAGGTTTTCCGCTCTGGCTTTCGTAACTCCACGAAATTAGCTCGTCAAACGGACGGTGGAGAGACTATAGATTATAGTGATGACGCCGGGAATCCCGGCCAGGCTTTAAACTGGCAACCAACTGCCTGCCGGCTGTCATTTGCGCGATTGACACATGTGGCCACGAAAATCAATAAATAACGAAACAAGAATCGGTCAATAATAGGTATTATATGGCGGGGGTATATATGTGCATATACCTATACTCGTGTGTATCGGAACGAACGTCATTATACATTTGCATATGATTAAGTGGCGGACCTATGTACTTGGCCCTACCGAATTTTCAGGTGAACGATCAGAACTCTGCCGATAAGAGATAGTCTGTCCATTTAGGGGTAATCTTATCGCCGCAGCATAAACCAATGGAACGTGCTCCGATAAGCGCACAGAGCGCTAAGCGCTACACCACCCAGAGCTCTTAATGGGAATCGGGGAGCGGAACTCTTGGTTGCACTCGAGACCCGAGGAATTACATCACGATTATGCCAAAGCAGCGGCGGCACACACAAAAATTCCGACTGTTTAGTGAGGTTAGGTTTATGGTCGGGTCGGGTTCTGTTTATGAGGCTCCTGCTCCGGTTACCGGGCGGCAATGCTCTCTCACCTTGACGGAGTCCAGCGGATACATGACCACATGCTCCAGCACGCCCGCAATAGCGCCCGCCGTCATATTGACACCCACACTGGTGGTGGGCAGCGATTCGTAGTCGTCTATGTTCATGGTGGATCCGATCTGGCGGCGGTGGTGGTGGTGCAGCTAAACTACCGACTGTGCGAGAATATTGTGGTTGTGCCCTTGCTGCGGCTGCTCCTCTTACGCTGCGACCTGATAATCCGGACTAGAACAAGTTTCGGCTGTGGAACCGCTTTCTCCACTGCAATCGGGTTGCTCCGCCAGGCGAGGATGGGCAATGATTTACGGGCTACTTTCAGCCGGCGTATGTTGAGCACGGAACAATTTTGTTGTATAACACGGATATCACGACGATTCACACGGGTGGGCGGGCGTTCGGGGGGTGGTGGTGGTGCTGCTGCTGCTGCAGAGTGTACGCGTGAGGTGGTGGTGTTATGCGAAACTACTAATTGACACTGCGGCTACTGCTCTGCTGGTATGTGCTACTGCTGCACCACGACTACTAGCATGTGTAGGCGATATAGGCGATATAGACGACATACGCTGCCCGATTCACTCGAGTTCGGAGCGAAGAAAAGGTGTTTCTGCTACTGCCCGCGGCCCTTGTTTCGGATGAAATGCCACTGCTGCTGCTGCGGATCGGGTGTTTTCTGGATATATACGGGTCGGTTGGAGGCTGATTAGGTTCTGGCCGAAACGGAATTTGGTATGGTCGGGTCGGTGTTTGGCAACTCACGCAAATGCTGAATGATTATGATTACAGGGAATCATTAAATTTCGCCCAATAAACAACCTCGTGCTAGAGGTGGAGAAACCAGCTCGGAGCTGCTGCTGCCAGGTGCGGCGTTTTCCAACACTCCTCAGTATTTGGTATTTTTTTAAATTCCGTTTATAAAAATACAGTAAATGTAGAAATGCAAGACTCTCTTTAATATGACAGAAGGATAATTTTGTAATTAAAAATTAATTTGAGAATTAAATATATAGAAGTAGACCCAAAGGTCTCTGGTATAAAAATACTGAAGGTTATCGATATTTCATCAAGCCTCGTGCGCAGAATGACCGTAGCGGGTCCGTCTGAAAATACCAAGGAGCTTTCATAAAAATAGGAACAGGTGGGCGGAAAATTTAAAAATAAAACATGTGCGTTAAATTAGGATCGGTAAAGGTATAACTTCTATATCTTGATATATAATAAAAATGACTAAAAACTTATGTTATTTCTAATTTTTCTGAATACAAATCAGACAGAAAATATCGTATTACCTCTAAGTTATAAAAAATATGATAAGTAAGTCAATTAAGTGTTATAAATTTATTTAAAAAAACTCTGAAATACTTAACATGTGAGCTGCCTTATGTGACGCAAAGCCAGCATCGAGATGGCATCAACGACTAGCAAATGAAAAAATACATTTACATGTGAAATGCAATGAAATAAATAATAAACACCGCCTGGTGGCAGTTTTGGCACATCCATGGCTTAGCACTCTTCGTTAAAGGGGGTGCCCTGTCTGCTCAGGGCCAACTGATAGGCCACCTCAAAGGCCTGTCCCAGGGTCATAATGATTTCCTTGGCCAGCTCCTGTGAAAAGGGACTCGTTAGCTTGATAAAGTTTTTCCCAATTAAAAGTTACGAACCAAGCTATCCACCATAAAGACATGGCAATAATGGAGGTCCTGTTCTTTGGTTATGTATGCAAAGTAGCGCATATCTTCCGAGTCCTGGCAAACGCAATTGATGTTCTCAATGTCATGGCAACAAATGGCAGTCTATAAAAAGTCAAGATTAAAATATTTGTTTATCTAGAGACGGATATATCAACCTTTTTCTCCTGATCTATAAACTTGACGCCGACGCAGGAAACCGCAATGTCCACATTAAGTCGAGTCTGGAGGTTTGCAGCCTTCAGATACTTTGTGGAAGTGGTGCAGTTCTCGAGCAAACTGAAATCACTAACACTCGCCGCCGACTTCAAGTGCTCATCGATCTTTAGTTTCTGGATGGATTTGCGCGTTGAAAGGGTTCCCTGCAACTTGCGTATTACCGTCGAGCCGAGATACTGTAATTAATAAATTAGTTTAGGCTTGAAAGAATTAATCATATAATAATAGAAGGAATAACATTATATAGGTATGACTTTTAAATTATTGAAATCTTTGAATTATAGTAATCAATTAAAAAAAAAACAAATCGAATTTTGGGGCACTTTGGGGTCGGCTCCTAATTATTTTAGTAATTAGTGTGATTTTTTAGATTTTTATGTCAATCCGCTCTGGGTAAAATTTGCTACTGACCGTTTTTTAGAGGTCCAATTTTATATTAGTTTAGATATCACTATGGACGGCAGTCCATGTAGTGACGAAGCGCACCAGGAGAGTGTGCGAAGGCGACTACTATTATATAGCCGCAAAATTGAAAATCTGCTGTGATAGTCCGATCGTAATGAGTAATACACCAATCGAAAGGTATTGCAAAAACTTAAAGGATTGCATACCAAGACTTTAAGAAAATCAATTGGCTTGGGAGAGAGAGCGGTGAAAGTGAAAAAATGAAAATTTCGAAATTTGGGGCCGGTGGGGATAAATGCCCCCTCGCAATGTTTTAGTTGTATTCCTTTTGAAAATACCCGTCGAATGAGGGGTCATTCGACGCTCCGTTCAAAAGTTATAGCCAAAATAAGATTTCCTTCTTCTTCCCAAAATGAAAATTTAATTCTGTTTGTCAGTTTGTCAGTTTGTCCAAAACATGTTTCTTAAGTTTTGAAAATTTAATATGACGTTCATCCCATCGATATAAAAAACTTTTGTTCTACCACTTTTGGAAAAACTCGCTAGTTTAGCGGGAAAACAGCTATAAATAGCTGAAATTCGGAAAACCGTAACTTCTATACTACTAAAGCTACAGACTTGTGCTGCATCTTGTTTGAAAGGTATTTTTAAATGCTATAAACGCCTTCTATGTGCAATTTGTGTTAATGTAATAATTAAAAAGATATGAACAAAAGACAATTTTTTAAAACTTTTTTTTAGCTTTTTTTTATTTTTCTCAAAAACGGCTCTAACGATTTTCGTGAAAACTTTAAACTGTATAGCCCTTGAGATTCCTTAAATTTTGGTATATAACACATTACTGTAAAAAGTCACGTTTAAAAGTTATTTTTATACGAAAATAGCCACTTTTGCCAGCTCGAACAACTAAAGCTTCCTGAGTATTGACTTTTGTGTGAGGGTATCCGAACTGTATTTTAGGGTCATGGAATCAGTAAATTTGCACTTAAGAGTTCCATATAGGAATCTTTTGTTCTACGACTTTTGGAAAAAGCCGCTACTTTAGCGGGAAAAAGCTAAAAATAGCTAAATTTCGTTAGTTTGTAAGTTCTACACTACTAAAGGTACAGACATGTGCTATACCTCGTTTAAAAGGTGTTTTGAAATACTTCAACGCCTTTTTAACTTAATTTGTTAAAATACAATGGCTTACAAATGATTGACCAATTTAAATTTATATGTATGTATATATTAGCTCCTATGAGAGCAAATGTAAACAAACAAAAACTTCTGATATCAAATAAAAACACCTATTAACGAGGTAAAAAACTAGTGACGATCGCACCTTCAACATACAAAAGTTCTGATATCAACATTTGTGACGAAAAATTATTACACTCGTCATTAAATAGACTTTCTAATATTTTTTTATTCGGCACGCTGCAATAGAAAATGCCTGTGAAGGGAAAAAGGCTGGAATAGTCTGCTAGGGCGGGCCGAATGAGAAAAGATTAGAAAGTCTATTTAATGACGAGGGTAATAATTTTTCGTCACAAATGTTGATATCAGAACTTTTGTATGTTGAAGGTGCGATCGTCACTAGTTTTTTACCTCGTTAAGAGGTGTTTTTATTTGATAATTATTAAATGAAAAGTATACTTACAAACAGAGAGTATCGTATTTCGCCATAGATCAATGTGTATGGCGAGTGGCACCAATTGGAAGCGGAGCTCTGTTTTCTGCCCAGCAACAATTCCGCCGGATCGCGGATGTGCAAGGATTGTCGAGCATCCTCTAAAGACAGGCTTGGTGTCTCGTTGATCAGCTCCTCGGCTTCCTGCTCCACCGTTAACACTTCATTCCCAATGTTCTCAAAAATGGTATCGATTGCAGCCCACTCACGGGAGGCACTAAAGTCCTCTCCCAATGCGGAGCACCTCTGCTTGGAGAGGCTACGTCGGTGGTTTTCAGCGTGTGCCGACCTGACCATGCTCGGGGATCGCAGAAACTCCCGATCCCCTGGCAAAGCACCCTTACCATCTACCACATCCGAGGACAAGTTCAGAGTGGAACCCTTAAACAGTCCAGCAAAAGGACTATCAGCCACGTACTCTTCCACCTGGTCGGAACTCACCGAGTTGGTGGTCCGCGGGGATTCCCCCGGTTCCAGTAGGCTATTTTTCCGCAGCGTAGCCGGTTGCATGAAGTTGAAGATCGTGCGCTCCGCCTCTGTGACCGTCGGCGGCGGATAATCCGGTGTGGGTGAATGGCGAACCATTCGCAATTTGTTGGCATTACCATTACTGTTATTGTTATTATCGACTGCTTGCACACAGCTGCCTTCTTCTATGGGCACCAGATTCGCATAGTCGTTGTATTCGCCGTTTATTCGAGTGCGTGGTTTGGGAACCGGAGGCGAAGGCAGCGTCATCTCCACATACGTAGCCACATTTTGTTGACGCACCGCAGCTGTAAATGGATAGAAGAACATGTGTTTACTTGATTGACTCACGGGCTATTTTGAATCATAGAAAATATTAAGGTATTTACGAATTTTAATTCAGAAAATAGTAGAACTATGAATATTATTCATTGAATAACTATATTTAAATTCCTAACAGTTTAAAATTTAAACTTTAAATGGTTCAAAATAGATAAATCCGAAAATAGTAGAACTACGAATATTATTCATTGAATAACTATATTGAAATTCCCAATAGTTTAAAATTTAAACTTTAAATGGTACAAAATAAAATGTTCAATTATAATCCGGCTGGTTTCTTACGTACAGTTGCTACTGGTGCTGGCGGAGTTCACATCGCTGGTGGAGCCGTTCCTCAGCAGATTAATGTACTCATACGATTTCGAAGGAACTGATCCGTTGGAGATGTCGCTGCCGGTTTGAAAGCTGGGCAGGACGGGTTGCTTGTACACTGGCTTGTAGCCAGTCCACAGATCCCTGTCATCCGACCGAATGTCGATCATGTTGTCGCAGGACTTCTGCTGCACAATGGGCTTCATTTGCAGGTAGTTCTCCGGCGCCTTGGCGAAAACGTCCAGCGAGCTTAAAGAGTGCGAAAGTCCGTTGGCTTGATGATCTGGCTTTCTACTTGACGGGGGGTGAGTGGGTGGTTATGGAAGAGAGACCAAACGAGACCAGACCAGTTAATTGAAGAGACGCACAACCGATTCTGAAGCTGATTCTGATTCTGATGAGTGCTAGGGCTAGTGGGCGTGGACTTGGATGAGAGTGGGGACGAGTGCGAGTGGGGATGAGTGCGCTTTCCGAATGACATGAGCTGCGGGCTAAGTTAATTAGGGTCAGCAAAGATGTGGGTGTGTGTCGCAGTGTCGCAGTGCATGGAGTTGATGGGCTTACTTCCTCTGCCTGGGCGGCAGCTTCAGTCGCTGCGAGTTCTTCTCGTACAGTCGCTTCGGCAGAGACTGAGTGCCGTTTTCCACGACAACTGGCTTCTGCTTTTCCCTCGCCGCTTGGGTGAATTCTGGAAAAGATCGTGGGTGTTGGTGGTTAAAAGGCATGGATAAAGTTGGTTAAGTTTCTTAGAGTCAGTTGTTCAATTTTCAATCATTGTTTTCTTAGAGACTTTACTAAGATTATAATCATCATTAAAGGCAAAATAAAGTTATTGACATTCTTTTCAATAAATCAATATCAACTGATACTATATCCTTAATATTGTTTTTAATTTTGTATAAAATCTTTTTTATATTAAGGTATGCTAGAAATGGTTTTATGAAATTTATTCGCATAAAAAAATTTGTTTAATGGAAATTGTTTACAAAACTACTGATACTATATCCTTAATATTGTTTTTATATTTTTATAAAATCTTTTTTTTATTAAGGTATGTTAGAAATTATTTTTTTGGAATTTATTCGCATAAAAATATTTATTTAATGAAAATTGCTTACAAAACTTTATCTGACTAGGGTACCTATTTTTATTGCTCACAGTAGGTAAAACTGGTAAATTTTACAATATGAATAAATACCAATAAAGATTGGCAATATAAACCACATATTATTCCTGTTTTTCGATGTGAAATCACTCATACGCACCGTTGATGGCGCCCACAATGTCGTAGGTGACATGTGGCGGATAATCGGAGAGTATGTCCAAGGCTGTGCGTCCGTTTCCATCGGTGGAGTGCACGTAGATCCCGGCCTTGAGCAGAGTGACCACCACGGACTTTTTGCCACAGAGAGCGGCCTCGTGGAGGGCGCTGCCCGCATTGGTGAGTATATTGACATCGACGCCCGCCGCCAGCAGCGTTTCCACCACCTTCTTGTGCCCATTCCGGCTGGCCAGATGCAGGCAAGTGTGCGTGAAGATGTGCTTGATGGGCGAGCAGCCCAGCAGCTCGCCGTCGTCGTCCTCCTCCCGCCGCTTGTACGGCAATATCAGGTCGGGATAAACGCGCAGCAGGGTCTGCACCACCTGCAGGCGGCCAAACTGGGCGGCCAAATCCAAGGCCGTCTGGAAGCTATTGTTGCGTATGGCGGGATCGGCGCCGTAGGACAGCAGAATGGCCACCACGGCATTGTGACCATGCTGGGCGCCCGAGTGCAGCGGCGTCTCGTTCTCGATGGTCTGGGCATTGGGATTGGCCCCCGTGGGCGTGTGCATGAGCAGCATCTTCACGATGTCCTGGTGCCCCGCCCAGGCGGCCAGGAAGAGGGGCGTGGAGCCACGGATATCGGGAACATCCAATAGAGCGTTGTGTGAAAGGAGGAGCCGCACGATGCTACTATGGCCATTTAGGCAGGCGTGGTGCAGCGAAGTGTAGCCATTCATGTCCTGGCAATTGATGCTGGGACTGCGTCGAAAGCTGCGAATGAGATATATTTATAAAGATTAGATATATATACAACAGGTGCTAATGATGACTCACCTGGACAGCGGGCCATGGCGTTTGCTCGAGTGCTCCAGCAGCTTGTCCACCGTCTTAATGTCGCCTCCCCGCGATGCCTCCAGCAAATGCTGATCCTTGCCCATTGCTCCTCCGGATCCTCCAAGACTAGAAAGCTGCAGGGGCGGCAAAAAAACACATGTCAGGTTGATTTAGCTGCTGCTCCGATTCCAAGAGAATGAGATCATCGCAATCGCGAGCAGAACGGAATACAAGAGCCCCACCCCCAGCCCCAAAAATCAGGTGGCAGCCAGGCGAAATCAGCTGTTTGGCCCTAGCACACACACACTCACACCTAATCTAAATAAACATTCCAGCTAAACGCACGAAATTGTTTTTGTTGATCATAGGGCTGACTGCCCCGCCTCTTCCAAGGTCATTCAACGGCATTGGGCTGCTCCAATTGGAATTTCTGTCCCGCCAACTGTATTTTATCTTTCGGTGTGCATTTACCGGCTATGTCCACGTCCGTTTCGAAAGTGTACAGCCATAAACGATTCACTTATTTGCCTCCGCGATAAGCAATCAAAAAAGTTGCGGACCAAAAATTTATTTACGTGGAGCCGATCGAGCTAACTAGCTAGTGTTGGAAAACACTTGAGCTAATCAATTGTTCGTTACTAATCGCCTAGAGATGGGTGCGTGAGGTGGCACGAGCTGCCAGTGCTGCGCCAAGTTCAAAAATAGCTAGAATAAAAATGTATGATTTTACTATAGAAACAAAGGTTATAGTTTTTACCCTATTCTTATTTAAAAAACATATAATTTTAAATGTTACACTTATTTAAAACTCTTTTAAATCTAATATCATGCGTAAAATAGCCAAACTACCACCTCTAGCACGACCCTCGCGATAGTTGCCACCGCCCATCTCTATCTGCACAAGCCAAATTTTTATATTTTCCTGGCGAAGATTCACGTTTTTTCCCGGAAACTTGACCCACAGAACAATGGAAACCACGAGCTCCAGTCCAGTGAAGCCCAGGCGAAAGGACAAGGACGAAGGTAAGTGGAAACACTGAGAAACCCGCCCCAAAACGAAAAAGCGAGATGTGCCGGCACATCGGGTGCCCACCTACCTTTGATAACGCGTGTGTGTCAGTGCTGGTGTGCGTTAGAAGCAGCCAAATTAAAGTTTAAGGTATGCCCCTGTTTGCCCCCGCTTAATGCCAACCCATTCACTATGTTGCCCTTGCAGATGGCCACGCGGAGCAGGAGGAATCCACGGACCAGGCGGGCGGCGAGCCGCAGCGGAAGCTCCTGCGTCTGGCCGAGAGCTCCGAGGTGAAGGAGGTGCTCCTGAACGAGGCCTACCAGCAGCCGGAACTCACCCAGTGGCTGCAGACCGCCTGGGCGGAGGAGAAGAGAAGCCAAGGGACAAAGGAGGCTCAGACCGGAGCTCAGGTGTTCGGCGATCCCTTCCAGATCTGCCTGATGCCCGGCCTGCTGGAACAGGGCCAGAGCCAGGCGCTGGTCGCCGAGATCATCCAGAAGGTGCAGTGGTCCCGCAAGCAGATGGATCTGTACGAGTTCTACCAGAGCACCGACCTCTCCAACATGCCCGCCTGCCGACTGCTGACCAACTTCCTGCAGGTGCTGCGCAAACAAGTGCGTCCCTGGCTGGAGAAGGTGACCAACCTCAAGCTGGACTACGTGTCCGCCTCCTGCAGCATGTACACCTGTGGCGACTATCTGCTCGTGCACGACGATCTGCTCAAGGACCGCCAGGTGGCCTTCATCTACTACCTTTCGCCCTGGGAAGGAGCGGAGGAGTGGTCGGAGGCGCAGGGCGGCTGCCTGGAGATCTTCGGCAGCGACGACCAGTGCTTCCCGCAGTTTCCGGTGCAGCGGAAGATCGCCCCCAAAGACAACCAGTTCGCCTTCTTCAAGGTGGGCTCGCGCTCCTTCCACCAGGTGGGCGAGGTGACCACCTTCGACTACCCGCGTCTCACCATCAACGGCTGGTTCCACGGCGAGACCAACGAGGCCTTCGTGGCCGACTCCCTGCGCGCCTTTCCCCGCCTGAATTACCTGCAACCCGACAGCCTGAACAAGCCACCGCTCGGCCTGTTTCTAAACAATGTCTATCTGAAGAGCGCCACACGACGAAGCATTCAAAAGCGGATCGAGGAAAACTCGGAGATCTGCTTGTATGAGTTTTTCAAGCGAGAGAAATTCGAATTGGCCCGGTCGCAGCTGCTGGCGGATTCCAGCACCCTGAAGTGGCGGAGACAGGGCCCGGCAAACGCGCACAACTACGAGGTTCTAGATCTGACAACAGCCAGAGGCACAATCCTGGAGCTGCTGCAGCTTTTCCGCAGCCACGCCATGTTTGACTTGCTGCGCGACTTTACCGACCTGGATTTGTCCGGCGCCGATGCCCAGAGACCAACATGCAGCGTGGAGCTGCAGCGCTGGTCCCACGGCAACTACACAGTGCTGGGCGACGGTCTGGCCAGCGAGGAGAACACTTTGGACCTGGTCTACTACCTGAACGCGGCGGAAGGGGCAGCGGTGATCACATATCTCTCGCCGGACGCCGAAATGCCAGCGGCGAAGGCGCCTGCGGATGGCAGGAGATCGGATTACGATGGCGAGGAAGAGGACGATTCCGTTCTGCTCACCATCACGCCCGTGGACAACGCCCTGAACATAGTGTACAGGTGCGAGGGCACCACCAAGTTCACCAAATACGTGTCGCGGAATACGCCCCTGGAAAAGGGTCCGGTTTTTGTTATTTCGTGCAGCTACAAGGAGTAGCACGTGACTTTGTTTCACAACACGCGCACAATTACTCCTCAAGGACTATTCACATTCATACCGTTCTATTGTACAGCAACTAATTTACACAATAAAATCTTATAAAAACCCGAAAGATACAACGTATTAATAATAGAATTAAATATATATCGGAATCGAATAAGTATAAAAGGAATACCGGGAAAGAAACGCACAGCCTCGCTAGAATCCAAGAACTAATCAGTTACTTCTTTTTAACTTTACAGATAAGTTCCGAATCGGGGCCACAATGGCCTTTATTGTGGTCATAATTGGAATTGGCGTGCCCATGTGGTGGCGCACCACCACTGTCTATAGGTGAGTCAATGATGTCTGGCGGCGTTTTCCGAATTATCCATAATTGTTACATTCGCAGAGTCAATTTGCCTTCGTCGGACATCCTTAGTCTAAGTGACACCCCCATCAAAACGGCTGTGCAGGTGTCCATCTACACACAACAGTCTAGTCGTGGCCAGTTACTCATCGGCGAACTGCAGAGTGCTTTCAGCGAAAGTGGTGGGTAGAAGCATTCCACTCGCACGCTTCCTCAGCAATTAATTTCATAATACAACGTTTCCTTTAGAAATATGGTCCGTGGAATTCAAGCAACTGTCCCATACAGTCAAAACCCAAGAGGCTCATACTCCTGCTGCTTTGGAAAAGCTGCTCCTAGAGGAAAATGTCCAGACCGTTGGCGACTTCATGTTTATCGAGTGGCCCAAACTACAGGAGGAACTCCTTTTGACAACCGAAAGATCGGCCCTGATGCGAAGTGATACCAGTGAGTATATTTAATTTATTAGTCGGATTTCTATAAATTTAATTTGTTTATATTAAGCATTTTGTGTCTAACAGTTCCTAGAACTAGCACATAAACCTTTGTTGGCTTTTAAAATCGGCGGTTTTCAAGGTCCTCGATAGTATAGTGGTTAGTATCCCCGCCTGTCACGCGGGAGACCGGGGTTCAATTCCCCGTCGGGGAGAAATTTCAAACTTTTTTTTTTTAAAAATAGTTATATATTGTTTTTTTTTTTTTTTTTTTGAGATTTTGGAGCCTTGAAAGGAAAAACCTTTAAATTTAATCGCTTTTATTAAACTATGATACAAAAATGTTTAGTTTTAAAAAAACTGTTTGGATTATAATTTAATCGAAATTTAATTCTAATTATAAATTTATCCGTAAGAATTGTCTTTTAAAAATAAAAAAATAAAAAATTCAATGAAGTAAAAAAAAAAGACCTTACGTCTCCCCGACGGGGAATTGAACCCCGGTCTCCCGCGTGACAGGCGGGGATACTAACCACTATACTATCGAGGAATGTGAACACAATGAAAAACTTTTCGAGTGAAATGAAAACCTAGTATCTATATTCTTATACCCAATTGATTAGAACAATTTATTATAAAGTTGAATGGATAGCTTAAAATAGGTGATATATTTGGAAATTCCCAGTTCATTTAAGACTACAAAGTTCTGACCAAAAAACTAATCTTGTCTATTAAACAATTTCTAGCTTCTAACAAAATCGCTCAGCTGCTCCATGCCAAGATCCTGCAGACCTATCGCATCAACCAAATTTTGAGTACAGATGAAAGGATGGGAGCCAAATCGGAAGCCCCGCAACCAGCCTACGATGTTATTGTCTCTGTTCTGAATCCAAAACCCCGACTAACCCACGCCCAGTGGAACATTGCAATGGCTGTGAAGAGTAAGCATTGAGGGGTCTTAGGAAGTAACTTTTTACTCATACTTAAAATCTCTTATTACAGCTTATATTGAGCCCTGGTTGGCACAAGTATCTGGTGTGTCCAACTACACGGTCAGATCGCAGTGGAAGTACAGGGTGTCAATTGAGGCCGATCTCAAGCAGGTGCGGGACCAGAGCAAATTGGGACGGCACTACGCCCTCCAGGAATCCGCCCTGCCCCATCTGCTCACTTCGATTGCCCAGAACCTGAGCGCCAGCACCACTGACAAGCCTGCCATCAACCTGGTGGTGTACATTCCACCCTGCCACACGGCTCCCCTGCACATCTACAACAGCAAGGATCAGCGGCTGACTCGCAATGGTGTGGATGCCTTTATTTCGCCGCCCTGGGGTGGCTTCATCATAGCCAACCCGCCGGAACGTGTCTGTCTGTCGGCCATGAGTGATCAGCAGCCAATGCCTTATCATGTCAGCACCACGGACAATATGCAAGTGATGCTGGACCAACTGCACAAGCTGCTCGACATCAGCAGTGAGCTGCAGATGGACGGCGTTAAGGCGGTGGACATTGAGCAATTGGAGCCTCGTCGATGGGAGTACGAAGCATACTTAAGACGCAGTGCTATTCGGCACATTGCCACGGCGAGCAGCACGCTCCAGAGCCTCATCAAGCTGTTGGGTAAGATTCGCAATCCAAAATTGTAAAATACAATCCGTGCAGTTTAAACACAAATTTTATAGTCAATATATCTAGTTAAGAATGTTGTCAGAATGTTAATTTTACATAATCTGATAATAGTAGGATATGAAAATGTTTAAAGCTCTCTAAAAACTTTAAAACTACTAACGGAAATGATGATTATTTAAAATCTAAATCTTCGATCTCTAGCCCTCCAATGTTTTTAAACAAATCTTTTAAATGTAGCATTTAAATGAGTTTAATGAATATTTTATTGAACCTTTACTGCTTGAGAAGTTTAATAACCAACTTAATTAGACCATATATTTTAATATTCGCTTCCTCCCTCGTTTAGATCAAATCAGCTACATTGTGATAGACGACGAGGTGGGTGCCGCCATAACCAATTCCTATGCAGACATTTTGGCCGCCAAGGCTGCCCTTCTGGAGCA